AAAGAAATTAAGATACTTGTTTAAGAAAAATTCTTTATAATATTCTTAAACGAGAAAGACAAACATTCTTTATAAATTAAAAATAAACCAAGGATGAATCTATTTATAATATGCCATAACATGTGGGATTGTAGGTCTTTTTTATTAAAAGTTGGTTAGTGTTGACAGACCCACAGCTACAAGTAGCAGAAGTCCTTAATAAAGGGCTACCCTCAAAGAGTACGGTAGTGTTGGTCTTACATACATTGTGAAATGAATAAAGAAGCTACTGCTTCGATTCTTGCAGTCACTGAGGCATATATGCCTGCTAAAAACCTGCTCCCTTTGAGATATAATACCTTTTAAATTAGTATAATATAATTAGATACGACCTCGGTTGCTTGAAACCGAGGCATATATGGTCTTTAGGCTTCGGGTGGGCGTCTAACCGAGGCATATAGGGTAAATTAAATTTCGAAAATGGCATTACTGAAATGTTTAGGCACCGGTCAAGCTAAGAGTCGAGGTAGTAGGACTTTTTTGGATCTCTTTAACCCTATGTAATCTTCTTTGTTTCCTCCCAAGAGCCATCAGAACTTTGGAAACCCTTGGCCTTCATGTTTTTTTTCTTCCCTAATTTTGGTTTCGTATTCTTCTTTTTGTGGACCACCCAATCTTGGGGGTTATCTCTGGCTCGTGCAATGGCCTCGTGGTGATGAAGACAACATTGGGGAGATGGCGCGACCAGGCGACGTTCGTTCGTGGTGACTCGAAGTGGCGCACTGACCGTTCTTCTTCCTTTTCCTTTTTTCTTTTTGAGTTCGTCTTTGACAAGAAAGGGGAGGCTCTCTTCTTCCCTTCTTTCTTTTCCTGTTCAGACGCGATTTTCACAGGGAGGGGAGACTCTCTTTCCCTTCTTGTTGCTGGTTCAGTCTCGTAAGGAGGGAGGCGATTTTGCGACAAGGGTTTTTGATTTTGGGATTTTGGGTTTCTGTTCTTCTCTACATATGGGTGGCCTAAAGTTGGGGTTTTTGTGCTTGCAAATTGTTCTTGCAATTTGGGGGTTAGGGTTTGCAAATTTTGGGAATCTTCTCTGATTTCAAAATTGGGTTGGGATTCTATTTCTTCTTTGCATATTAGAGGCTTCTGATCTTGTTTTCTTGATTTTGCGATTTGAGTTTTGCGAATTTGGTTTTCGATCGTTCCGTTTTTTGGTATTCTCTGTTGTATCTTCTTTGTAGGTTTGAGACTACGAATTGGGGTTATCCCAATTTTTGCGAATTTTACATATAAATTAAAACATAATATCATTACTAAAATCCAAATTAAATATATCTTCAGAATTAGCAAAGGGTTTGAACTTACATACAGGGATAAACTGCCTCGGTTCAAAGGGAATCGTGGTATAAAGTCTTGCAAAAAAAAACCTTATTGCTTCGGGTTACTTTGAACTAAGGCAATATCCTACCCTTTTATGCCTCGGTTCTGAACCGAGGCCAAAAGTCTACTACATTTTACCTCGCCTGGTGATAACAGTTGAAAAACTGTTATTTTCATGCTTAAAATTACCTGAATATGCCTCGGTTCAGGAATCTCTGCTTGAAGAATAAAAGGACAACCTATACTGCAAGCTTCACTTCTACCTCTCGCTGAGCCAATTGAAAATGTTGTATCCCTAAGCTCACACCATTAAGGTGATCATCACAAAAGAGAAAACAATACACATACAAACAAACACAAAAGCAAGGATAAGCTAGAGTATCAAAAGATTTTACATTACAATTAAAATAAATATATTACACAAGCATGTTATAAGTTATACAACACTGTCATTAGTTCAAAACCACTTAAAACATTCATTATTGTCCAGACAGATGTATTGACATCGGACTTATGGGGAACCTGCACTCGTGTATGGTAGAGCTAGCTCAGAAATAATAATAATCACATCCTCAACCACCATTAATAATTCCATACACCAAGGTTAATCCGTCAAACATTTATGGCCCTAACTAGTAACCATAGACTAGGACCTCTTGCTACTTTCCATGACATAACACCCATCTCTACATGAGATGGAGTTATTGAAAGTGTCGGGATCATTCCCCAATCTAGGAGCCCCTACATCAATAAATAACTCCACACAACCAACTTAGGATATTCCTCCTTGGAATTCCTTTCTCACATGATACTTGAATTCCACCACATACACATTGTTTGAACCTCATCATCACATCACATCCATAATCATATTCATAACTTCACAACAAGTAGTAGAAACCAATCATTCAAATCGAACAAGAACACATAAGAAAAAATTAAACTTAACCCAAGACAATTCGCTCAGCGCACATTCTCGCATAGCGAGTCCAGAGGTTCCTCACACAACGACTCATCTCGCTGTGTGAATAAACTCCTAGTGGTATCAGACCTTAACCCCTCGCATAACGCCCCAACTCGCTATGCGAGAGCTCAAATAGTGGCCCAAACCCCCCAAAAACTCGTTGTGCGCACCCATTCGCTATTCGAATTAAATCTAGCATTTATCCCAGACCACCACCAGTCGAACAACGACTAGATTCGCTAGGAGAATCACCAAACAGAGAACAACCCTCTCCAGCCATTCACACAGCGCACGAATTCGCTATGCGAATGCCAGGCAAAGAGCAACCCATCAAATTCATTCACACATCGCACCAGCTCGCTGTGCAAATGCCCTGAAAGAGAGCATGTCGCCAGGATGACTCGCTGTGCGAATGGATTCGCACAACGAGTCTGGATAATCTGCAGAATGAAGTTCTGCAGAATTATACAACTCAACCACCAATTACCAATTCTAACTATTTTTCCCAACTTCTAACTCTCCTAATTTGTTTTATATACCTAATTAGACTTGTCTAAGTGATTCTAAACCTTCCTACTATTAATCTAAAGTATTTTTGAACGATTTCCTACTTTATAACTTCAAATTCATCAACCTAGGGACCCAAATCTAATTCTACCACTTTTAGCATATCTTTGACTGACTTAATGGCTCAAACAAGTGACAATAAGCTTACTAAAACTGCCCCAATAGCCCAATTGCACTCTAAACCTCAATTTCTCAAAATCACTAACTCACTTCCTCCAAAGCAACCCTAAAACTACTCAAATATGCCTTAACTCTCAAGCAAATAACCCCATCACAAATTTATAACCTCTAATATACTCAGTAACAGACTAACATCATTCTCAAATAATTTCAAATCCTTCTACTCATCATTTTCACCCAAGAGAAATCAACATACATGATCTTACCAATTTTAAAACATCAATTCATCAACATACATATTCTTTATCAATTCCAAACATCAATTCAATGCAAATAGTTTAATAATCACACAATCACTAATTACACACTAAGTTTAACAATTCAAAACATTCTAGCTTCGCTTACCTCAGTTAAACTGCACAACTCATAGAAACCCCAAATGAAGCTTGAGCCGTAAGGAAACTCTATGGAAACCTACAATTCACCGATTGGTGATAGGAAAACAACCTTAGAACCTAGTTTGAGCTAGAAATTGTAGAGGAAAGCAACCAAACACATGTAAACAGAGAATCATTGCAAGACCACGATTAAAGACGTACAGGAAAAAGGAGAAACAACTTACTGACTCAGAATCAGAAATTTATCAGTAGGAATTGTAGCCCTCGATGCCAGGATCGCTTAGACACTTCCTGATCGTCGAACAGATGACTTGAAATCAAGAACTCTTACAGAGAAGTGAGAGAAAGCAAAGATGATAGTGTTTTAGAGAGATAGAGAAAATTAAGATAATGAACCGAGCTTTAGAAACTTATATTTATATTATAAGATTATTCTAATATAAAATACTCGATCTCATGATTTTAATACACCTGTCTACTCTATTACTCTATTTCCTAGGTTCTTACATATCTTATATGTCTCCCTCTTACACACAATATATTTTTTATTTATTGAAGGTAAAATATTCATATGTACAGCAGAATTAGTTTCCTTATAAATAATGTAATTCTGAAAAGTTTCCAACTGAACTATAGTATACGCATAATATTTTTAACATTTCAAGATAATATAAACCGTAATTAAAGCTTATTGTTAAAACTCAATAGGAGGAATAAAATGATAATCATAGTAATACATTAATTAATATAATAAAACATGAACTAAAAACTAATCATTTATTAAAAGACTGAAAAAAAGTTCTCTTGGTTTTTCTATTTTGTTCAAACATTTAATCACGTAATTTTTTAAAGTTTTATAACTCAATAAAGTTAATATCAGATCTTATAAATTTATAAAATTACACTTTACACTGTTACTTCATAAACGCCTAAAAATTGAAATTACAAAATCTAAATTATTTTAGAGTCTTCTAAAAAAATCAAATAAGTGTATCACTCACATAGTCCTTTTAAATTTGCAACACTTTTTTTATTATCAAAAATACTATTTTAAAGTAACAATCTATTGCTTTTATAACCAATATTTTTTCCATTCTTAAAAATTTAGCACGCCTTTATAAATTTTAACACAACATTGATTACTTTTACTTTAGTACATGTGCATATGATTTTTTAGTTGATTAAACAATATCCTCTTTTCTTAATTAGTTATTGACTGATATGTTTCAACTTTATGTTTGTTAGGAAATAGATGTAATTCGTTCTTGTACAAGATAAACAATATTTGGAGATGGACTTTTTGGGGCCTTTTGGCAAAGTTGTCGAAGGACTGGTTGATTTTGTATGGAAACATGGTGTTCGACAGGTGACTTACATTGTCAATTACAATAACAATGTCGTTGAATTAAAAGATAGTGTTAAGGATCTTGCATTAGAAAAAGAAAGGATAAATCATCAACGTGACGAGGCTGAGAAAAATCTAAACAACATTGAAGGAAAGGTTATTGAATGGGATCGAAAAGTGAGTGAAATCGAGACCACAGTAGAGGTGTTTAAGAACGATGATGGTCACACAAGAGCCCGATCACCCAATTGTTTTGTGTTTCCGTACTTATGGAACAGACACAGGTTAGGAAGACAAGCACATAAGATGAAAGAGGATGTTAAAAGGCTAATTGGTGAGTCCCCTGAGCTTGATGAAGTTTTCTATAGGCAAAATGTAACATCTAATGATGCCACATTGTCTAATTGTGGTTTTGTAGAATTTAGTTCTATAAAATCCATAATAGAAAAAGTAATGATCCAACTTCAAGATTCTGCGGTGAGAATGATTGGATTGTATGGGAGAGGGGGTGTTGGTAAGAGCACTTTAGTCAAAGAAATTGCAAGGAAGGCTAAAGAGAAAAAGTTGTTTGATGTGGTTGTTAAAGTAGAGATAACAGCTGACCCCAATCCACATAAAATTCAGGAAGAAATTGCCTACGTCTTAGGATTAAGATTGGAAGGGGAAGGTGAAAATGTGAGAGCTGACTGTCTACGAAGGAGGTTAAAGAAAGAAAAAGGGAACATCCTTTTAATCTTGGATGACCTGTGGCACAAATTAGACCTAAATAAGTTAGGGATTCCAGTTGAAGATTATGATGATGATGAAGATTTTAATCGC